GGTACATAAGAGAAAATATGAAGATTTCTTGCATAAGAGAAAATATGAAGATTTCTTTCAGTCATGTTTTTATTATACTTTGCCCAATACTCCTACCTTCCTAGGGTGTGCAAAAGTAACATGACACCTAAGAGACAGCACTGACTCCTAAGACAGGCAAATACAGTGGAAGAACAGGCAGTCTGAAAAGAAGCATGCGTCCCACAGTTGAACACACACCTACATTCAGGACTACTGTGAAACTCACTCAGGAACTGGAACTCAGAGCTTAGACCTCCGGGGTAAAAATCAAGTATTTGCAAAGCATTTTCAACAGTTTATATACACTTTGAAAAAATGCAACTGGAATCTAATGAAAGAGGACTTAATCTATATTTTCAGAAATTATGATTCTGATTCATTTCACCCTAAATTGAAATGGTAATATATACTAATCTTACTCAAAAACTGCTATATACATGGCTTTTTTAACTATATTAGTTTTTTTTTTTTTTTTTTTTTTTGAGATAGGGTCTCACTCTGTCGCCTAGGCTATAGTGCAGTGGTGCAATCAAGGCTCACTGCAGCCTCAACTTCCCTGGATCAACAAGCTTCTCACTTTAGCCTCCCAAGCAGCTGGGACCACAGGAGCGCACCATCATGCCGGATTACTTTTTTCGTTTTTTTTTTTTTTTTGTATGTAGAGATGGGGTCTCCCTATGTTGCCCAGGCTGGTCTTGAACTCCTGGGGGGGCTCAGGTGATCCTCTTGCCTCATTCTCCCAAAGTGTTGGGATTATAGGCATGAGTCACTGCCCCTAGCCTATACTAGTTTCAATACATACACAAGTATTAACAGTAATGAAATAAAGCAAAATGGTTTCTCCCTGAACAAGGAAACAAAGTTTTAATATATGCCAATAAAAGGAAATGTTACTATCATTTTTTGCACAGAAACTATAACACTATACTTTTCTCAAAAGAAGCTGATCTTTCTGAATAATTACAAATATACATCTAAAAATTATTAAGATTTAACTAAAAGCAAGGTGAGTAAATTTTGATAACATCTTAAAACCATTTACTTAGAAACAATTTCACTTAAATATAATACTACCAATCAGAACATAAAATAAAGCAATATAAGTTGCCAGGAAATCTGAGGTAATTAATTTTTAAATTTTTATTTATTTATTATTTATTTATTTATTGTTTTTGAGACAAAGTCTCACTCTGCTGTCATCCAGGCTGAAGTGCAGTGGTGTGATCTCGGCTCACTGCAACCTCTGCCTCCTGGGTTCAAGTCAAAATCTGAGGTAATTTAATTGACCCCTCCAACACATCTGGTGGGACTATAGGAAATAAAATTATAGACCCTTAAGAAATGAACATACCACTTGAAATAACCACCACATAGGTCATCCGCTAAAAGTTTTTCACTATTTCTGCAGTTTAACTTTGAAAAGAAAAAAGGTCTGGGTGAGAAACACTGGGAAAAAAAATTAATGTATCTCTAATAGCACAGTTCCTTTAGGAAAAAAGAAAAGTTAGAAAACTGATGTAATGTTTCCATGGAAACACTGATTAGAAAAGAATACCTGATCACTCAGATTTTAATAGATTCCTTTTAGCAACAGTATTAAAAATATGAATGTTGTACGGCATGAGAGGGAAGGAGGGTGCTGCCAGGGGAATTTGAAGAAAATATAAATCATCTCAAAGTTATCTTTTTTTGTTATGGGTATTAATGCTGATTACAAAGTCAAAAGCTGCCTTGAGTATTATTTGGTTTTATTTTGTGTTATAAATCTCATCATAATTTTCATATTCTTACTAAACAATAGATTTAAGTGATACAATATCATACTTCATTAAAACAAATATTTATAATATTTTCTGTAATGCATCAACAAACAAACAAAATCAACAGTAAAAATGAAGGGTGATTTAATAAATCAGTCATTGGTTATAATGTGAGAAAATATGAAAAGCTAAATGGAAAAATGGAGATTTATTTCTTCTGGATTGATAGTAGCTGACTACATTTAAATAGAGAATACAGCTTTTTTTTAATAATGGAGGGGCAAAATCCACCCACACAACAGTTAAAAATGATTGCTTTCAGTGCTACTTATACTACATTCAATATTTTCATGCGATCACTTGTGATGTAAACCGTGTATGGCAAAGTATATATCTGTCACATACCTACATTAATATCTCCAACTATACAACTTGGGCCTGACCCAGAATGTATTTGAACTCAGTACGTGAGTCAGAAAATTTTGACAGACCAACATTGTATTTGGTTTTGACTAAAATTACAGGTACAAGTGTTTACACTTCAACATTAAAAACAATACTCTGAATGAGTATCCAACATCAGTTTCCAATGTCCTCATAGAAAATGCTCATTAACAATAATGTCACATCACTGCAGAAGCAGTTGTGACACTTAATAGCTAGGTGTTATTTCTAAGTAATATGGCACATTATTACATTATTTCAAGTCATTATAAGTGAAGTTGAAGATCAAACTAAAGTCTCACCTTTGACCATTTAACACACTTCAATTATCTCCTGAACCTCATTAGATGCAGTGAGTGCCCTTCCTGTTCCTGTTAGATAACCCCACTGTACCAATTATAAGGAATTCTTCTGCTCATCACCACTGCTATTTAGACTGATCATCTGCACCTTTAGTCCAGCCAAACTGGTTCTGCTATCTCAGATTTGCATGTCTGCACTAGGCCAGGTTATAGCATGGGCTTTCTGCTATAATTCTACAGAAGCATTTCACACTCAATTTAAAGATCATTGCATGCTTCCCAAACCAAAGTCCTGGTCAAATTCAATTAAAGATAATCTTGGGTATGGCATACCCATAACGCATAATATTTAAGTAGTAAAAGGTAGATTTCTTGATAAATAAGATTAGGCTGCCAATCAAGATCACGTGAATAGCCCAAAATGTCAATGCTGATGACTTTTTCACTTATGCACCTATGCACATATTTTATCTGTTGTTTATAAAACTGACATGGCTTAAATTTATTTTTCATATTTTAGTAACATATTAATGTTTGCTCCCACAGGGGCATATTCAGCTTTCTGTTGTCTGAACCATGATATTGTTAGACTGCAATCATTCTAAACAATGCAAATTTCTGTCAGCTTATATATCTTCAAACTGGCATCAGGACAAATCTTAGATGCAAACTTATCACTTAGATATGGTTAGCTACTATTGTTTAATTTGTAACTGAGGTTCGAATGACAGATATCCTAAAATACCAGAGTATTATTACTGTAGTATATTGGATCGAATATAACATATAAAAAATAAAGCTGGACATGTCTTCAGGCATAATGTTTAAAATCTGAACTTGTTCATGAAGTAGAGAAAAAAAATCTAATACAGAATTAAGAACAAATAAAGAAGCTATGGCACTATCCCATAATATTCTAAATCATTTTCTCGCAGATTAAGTAAAAAATATGTACAGGTAATAGAAGTTTCATTAATACTTTGTGAATATCAACAATAGCTGTTTCACTTTCAATTTCTAAAGGTCAAACTACATCAGATTAAAGATATTCCAATTATTCCCCTGACTAAAGTGAAGTTACCACAAAATAAAACAGGCCAGAAGTCACCATCACAATCTCAATCACATGTCTGCCTTTGAAGAGAGGAAAAGAAAGGACAAGGTTTTCTGAGCAGTCCCCATTTGCTGTGGAAGGAGTGCAGAGGCGGAGGGGAGTGGCCTGTGTTTTCCCCGCACCCCACCTGCACTCAATTCCTATTGGATACGGCCACAAAAGCAAATCAGGATCTCCTTCCAATTTGTCTCTAAAGCAAGACTCTCTTCAAGGTATTTTTCAAAGTTTGGAGAAAAAACAGGTTTCTCATTCAGGATTCACAATAATTATTTCAAAGTTCACTATAACTAGCATCAAAGTGCCCATATTCTTTATTAAAAATCTACAGAAAAAGTAATGGGGGATCTCCCAACCAAGCACTAACCAGGTCTGACCTTGCTTAGCTTCCAAGATCAGAAGAGATTGGGCGCATTCAGGGTGGCATGGCCGTAGACCAGAAAAAGTAATAGGAAATGTGAAAGTGTCTCTTCAGAATACCTTAAATTTTGACAATTTACTCCTCTGCATACCTATAAATCACATTTCAAAAATGAATCATAAAAACAAACTACTTCCACAAAACACAAAGAGAAAAGTCACTAGAGTTCCAAGTAGCTAGGAAAGACAGATTGACAAGGGTGGTCCTTTGTATTTTCAGAAAGACAAAAAAGTAAATAAATGTGTTCTGTACTCTTGAACTAAACTTTATCTTATCAGATACAGAAAAAAATTAACCAGGTTGAAGGTATCTTATGAAAAGTATCTTGCTATCATGAATTCTTGTGTTATGAGACCAGTTCTATTTAAATCCAGAGTAATTACAATGGATATCTTGGAATTGCAAGATTCCAGGCACTTTTCCCTAAGAATTGCACACTTAGGTAGTAAGAGAGGCCTAGCACACATACTGGTGAAGGACAATGTATATACACTGACAAGTTTCCAGAGCTTAGAGGAGGGCTTACATTACTAGACCATTATTGACCGCTCACTGAACAAATGACAGAAAGAAACAAATCTGATCAATTAAAGTCTAGCAGCTAACATGACTAAGGTAGGGAGGATCCACTCAAGACTGCGGGTATCCTCCCTATTTACGTGAAATCTATCCATTTCAAAAACATTTAATGAACCAATATGTAAATGGAGACCTGTAAAGTTTCAATCTCTAATTTTCAAAGAGATAAAAGGACTAAGCTGGCCCTTGGAAACCAGTTGCAGGCCAAATCCAAACTATTTGAGAAAGCTTATACATATAGAGCAAATGCCCATTTAAAAATCTTTAAAAACAAAGATATCCAATGAGCTATTTTTTCTCCAATGGTTAAAGTAGCAGCAATATATATGATTAATTACATAGTTATAATCATATTTACTTACCCTCCTAATAGTATCTGTGGCTGGTTGGATTCATTTGTGATACCAAAAATATCAGGAATTAGATCACCATTGAAACTGAAAAAAATTAAAACAATAAGCAGCTATTTCATTAAATTCTTACTTCTAATTTAGCTTTAAAAGAAACAATAACTTTTGGGAAGTGTGGTAGACATTACAATGCTTGCCAGTATCTAGTGATAAGTAGTAAGTCAAATGTCAGCACAAGTGACATGTGTCACTTTTACACCAAAGTGCATAATTTCTGTTACCGGCCCCTTCAGCCCTCTCCAGGTTTGCCATGGCAATGAGAAGACATTGTGATTCAGATGGACTAGCTACAAAGACAGTGGGGTCTCAGATGGCCTGACTCTAAGCAACAGCACAGAGCAGAGCCTGTTGTTGACCCACACTGGACATATAGTAAGAGCAAGAAAGATTCCTTTTGTGAGATTTTGGGTATGTCTGTAATCTTTGCATTATCTAGACTATCCTTGAATGATAAGGATATAGCACTAATTCCTAGAAACTTACTTCAGAATCATAAGCCAACTCATTTATTTAGATGGGCTTAGGAGAAATAACCCAGAAAAATAATCCTAGTTGGTATAAAACTTCATACTGGCCATTGAATATTTTAACAACAATGAAAAAATACACAACTATGAAAGAAATCTAGTGGGGCACCATTAAGAAGATTAATCCATGGATTTACAGTTCAGACTTCTAATGGCCACTGACATACTGCTGTATGGGTATGATTTCAATAACTCTAAGAAAGGCAGTACTGGAAAAAAGAATGCGGCCAAACTTTGCTCTAGTCTCAGGAATGATCTCGACCTCTACCAAAATATACTGTCAGAAATTTATAAATCCAAATTTACATCAGTTATTTAAATCAATTATCCTGGTACATGAGTCTATACTGAGAATATAAATAATAACACAAAGGAAGAGTTATAAAAAGAACAAAAATTTCTCCTTAATATTGGAATCTTTCTAAATTTCTAGAGGAAATTGTATCCTACATACTAAACATAACAGTTATACTCAAAAACAGCTATCTTAATTCTTTCAGTAATGACAGCATAGATCCATAATGGACACATCTGAAGCTACTGAAACAAAAACACAAATCTCTTCTTTCCAAAATAATAAATTTCATTTTTCTTTGTCCTATCTGATGGCAAATAAATACAATATAATCAAAGGTACAGGCCTCTGAGTGAATTTAGTGTTTGTATTACTAAGCAAAGTAGCTTCCTATGTGAAGATTTTATTTTATGTTTAAGTTTAAAATCATTTCAAAGGAAGCAAGCACATACTTACTCCATAATTAGTGGCTCATCTTGAAAAGTCCTATTGAGTATGGTCATATTGTTAGGATCTGCAAAAAGATATATAGCAGTCTTTTTATATTACTTTTGATATCTACACTTAGGAAAAAATATTCTTCTACTCTTTTCAAGATTTATCTCTAATTTATTCCAACTATTATTATTAAAGAGATACTATATATCTAGTTCAAATGAACAAGCTTGCAAAGACAAAATATTGGGAAGTACATTCTACAGTGAAGACTAGCATTACAATAACTTCCTTTTGAGGTACGCATCTAAATATTTGCTAGCTGAGTCTTTGTCTTTACACAATTTAGGACTAGAGAGGCTGACAATTAACAAGGATTTTGTGTAAAGAAGGCCATATATGCAAAACTTCCTGGCTCTAAAATGTACATGCTTATATACAAGCTTTGTACATGGTACTCCTTCTGTAAATATTTATTGACTTAATGAATATAATGTATTGAGGTTACTGTTTACATTCCCAAATGGTGCAGACAACATGACTGAAATTTGACTCCATGAACAAAGTTGCCTATTTAGGTATAACTAATTGGCTTTTCAGATATGGCTTGATGATTTGTGACTAGGGAAGGTAGACTGACTCTCCAACTATACTTCAACTTTGTTGTGCTTTCCTGTGCTGAGGAGACTAGAAACCAAAAATAGCATTTTCCAGATATCGTTGCAACTGAGATGCTGAATAAAAGTTAAGCCTTGCCAATCAGATACACTGTGAGTCTTAAAGACATGAATGAGGCAAAGGCTGTTTCTCTGCTATTTCTATCTGTGTCTGCTCACTGAATTTGGGAGTATCAAGAGACCAGGTGCAGCATTCATTTTGCTAGGAGAATCACTGCAGGCACAGCAAGCATCATTCTGGCAGCAGTTGTGTAACTAGCCACTTCTGATAGTGGAAAGAGGCAGAAGCTTTTCTGATGATACTGGGATTGCTCCTGAAAGCTTCTTCTTTAGCCATCCCAATAATTCTGTGAGCCATTAAAACCCTTTAATAAATCTCTGTCCTCTTTAAGCTAGTAAGAGTGAAGTCTGTTAGTAGAAGTAACCCCTGCCCAGTTCAGGGTTGAAAAAGAAAAATCAGGAAATAAACTTTGACAAAAGTTTTTACAATTATTGACACCCAAGAACAGTATTTTTGAACTGATTTCAGAACAATATTTTGTTACATTTACCTTCATATTCAATGAGAAATATTAAAAATTTTAAAACAAATTCACCTAACGTTTGATTTTGTCCCCAGAAGATAACAGCTCCTAATTCACTCTTGGCATAATTTTTGGGAAGATATGTCAGAAGGACATCCATTTGAGAATCTCCATCATAATCCCCAGGGACTACACTTGTTATCAATGCACTGTGATTCCTAAAAGAAACAAGCATTTACAAACATCAGACAAGTTGTAATGGAAAAGGACAACTCTGTATTTCTACCATAAAAAAATATTTTCAATGAAAAACTTAAAACTTCACATAACTGACCAATTGCCTTCTCTTTCCAATCTTTTCACCCCAGATGTATTTAGACCTCTTTGGTCTACAAAAGAGTTCAGAATGAATGCAGAAGAGTCTCAAGAAACAAGAGAAAACTGAAATATGTCAAGAGAAAACGTGTTTATTATGTTCAAGCAATGGCTAGTATAGTCCTTCTATATAGTTCCTTTGTCAAGGACACTAAGACATTCGGATGGTGTTTCTAACAACTGGAGGCTCATAATTGCTAAAGCAGTAAGCAATATCACTGGGATTTTTTCAATTAAAAGATATTACTTATAAAATATTGAGTTTGGATTTTAACATAAATTCAAAATTTATAGTAAAAATTAAAAAATCATTTTATTTCTGAAAGCTAGTAAATTAAGAATGGAATTTTTTTTTTCCCCAAACTTGGCAATCAATACAGCATCCAAACATATATATCTAATTTTATACACATATTTTTATTTTTTCCCTTGTCATAGGTATTGATACATTTTTATTAACAAAATAATTCTAAAATTATTTATATGAATCTTGAAAACTTAACATCCGGCAGTCTTGTTGTCTGAGTGACCCAAGCAAAAAGTAGGCCTTAAATTCATTTTATATTTAATACTACTCAGATCAAATAGCATGACAACAAATTTCCAAGTAGACTATAGAAAAATACTTTCTTAATGCATCAATGGCAGTCCTTTCTCCCTCTCACTCAGCAAGGTAAGAACCAAGTGGTGCATTTCTTGAAAGTCTCAGGAATTAAGGATTTAAGTTACAGTAACGGGTAAGGTTTTGGCCTTAAGCTAAACACAGGAGTTAACTAAAAGTCTACAAAGGAACAATTTAACACTTGCCCGCAGCTCTACCTATTTCTAGAATGTTAGTCCATCAAGAACATACATGCAGGGCAAAAGACAGTAGACAAGTCCCACTAGGCAATGCATTTCCAATTATTTCTTTAGCACCTTACTTGGAAATATGAGTAGACACCTGCCTTTTGCCTTCTGAAGAAAACTTTTGACTATTAAAGAGAGCTAAAACAAATAGCAATAAGGAACCTGAAGAAAACAGAGTTAATGCAACAAAAGAAAACTTCAAAATTACACTTTAGAAAAGAGAAAAAAGTATATATATATAAAGAAAAACAGTATGCTAAAAGACATCATAAGAATGATCGTAAAACATCAGTAAGAAAACAAAACAAAACAAAAAATCTCGGAAATTAAAAATGTGACACCTGGCTGGGCGTGGTGGTTCACACCTGTAATTCCAACACTTTGGGAGGTGGAGGTGAACGGATCACTTGAGGTCAGGAATTTGAGAACAGCCTGGCCAACATGCTGAAACCCCATCACTATTAAAAATACAAAAAGTAGCAGGCATGGTGGTGTGCATCTCTAATCCCAGCTACTTGGGAGGCTGAGGCAGGAGAATTGCTTGAACCCAGGAGGTGGAGGTTGCAGTGAGATTGGGCCAATGCACTCTATCTAGCCTGGGCAACAGAATGAGACTCCACGTCAAAAAAAAAAAAAAAAAAGGACTTAGAATTTAGAAGAGAAAGTTGAGAAAACCTCCTGCGAAGGAAAATAAAACAAAACAAAACAAAATGATAAAATAAGAAACAGATAAGATAAAGGAACAAAGGATGAACCCAGGAAGACTAATAATCAATTGATAGGCATTCCTAAAAGAGACAAACAAAAAAATTTTTCAAAGAAATATTTAATAATGCAAGAGTTTCAAAATGCCCCCAAGGATAGACGTCTCTAGCTGGAAAGGGCCCACATAATGCCTAGCATAATAAGTAAAGAATAATCATTCCTGTAATTGCAGCATTTTGGGAGGCGAAGGTGGGAGGACAGCTCCAGCCCAGGATTATGTGGTTACAGTGAGCTATGATCATGTGACTGCACTCCTTTGTCACCTGGGTGACAAAGACCCTGTCTTTATCAAAAAAGAAAAACAAATCTATACCAAAGCACATCATCATGAAATCAGAACAAAATGGAAAAAGAAGAGACTCCAATAGCTTCCAAAATTAAAACAATTTACATTTAAAAGATTAGGAGAAATAATAGGATTGAATTTTAAAACAGCAACCCATGAAGCTAGAACACAATAAGCTAATTACAGTGTTAAGAGCAGGTAGAGGCTGGGCGTGGTGGCTCAAGCCTGTAATCCTAGCATTTTGGGAGGCCGTGGCGGGTAGATTGCCTGAGCTCAGGAGTTTGAGACCAGCCCAGGCAACACAGTGAAATCCCGTCTCTACTAAAACACAAAAAAATTAGCCAGGCGTGGCACTGTGCACCTGTAGTCCCAGCTACTCAGGAGGCTGAGGCAGGAGAACTGCTAGAACTAGGGAGGCAGAGGTTGCAGTGAGCTGAGATCGTGCCACTGCACTTCAGCCTGGGAGACAGAGCGAGACTCCGTCTGTAAAAAAAAATAAAAAATAAAAAGTGGGTAGAAAAAGGTTTTAGACATAACAGGACTTATCATGCATCCTTTCTGAGGAATTTCCTGGAGGACACACCCCCGTGAAGTAAACGAGGAAATTTCTTTTTTTAAATGGGGAAATTCCCCATAGAGTAAGTCTGCAAAAGGCCTGGAGAATGAATCCAGACTGGATAGCAATGCAGAGGATCCAATGGGAAAAAGAAAAATGCATGATAGGTATAGGGTAGATATGACAGAATATCTGCAAATAAATTAAGGATATGTACATAGAAAACTATGCAATCTATTTTTTAAAAAGCAATCATTTATCCCAGCAGGGCAAGCTGCACAAAAAATTAAATACTGTCCCAGCACGTTGGGAAGCCAAGGTGGGTGGATCACCTGAGGTCAGGAGTTTGAGACCAGCCTGGCCAACATGGTGAAATCCGGTCTTTACTAAAAATACAAAAAATTAGCCAGGAATGGTGGCGGGTGCCTGTAATCCCAGCTACTTAGGAGACTGAGGTGGGAGAATCGCTTGAACCCGGGAATACAAAAATTAGCCAGGAATGGTGGCGGGTGCCTGTAATCCCAGCTACTTAGGAGACTGAGGTGGGAGAATCGCTTGAACCTGGGAGGCGAAGGTTGCAGTGAGCTGAGATCATGCCACTGCACTCCAGCCTGGGCAACAGAGTGAGATTCCATCTCAAAAAAAAAAAAAAAAAAAAAAAAATACTGTACATTATTTGGTTTTGAAGTACATAGACACTACATGGTTAAAATGTAAACAATGATTACTGATTCAACAAAAAATTATGATTTAACTACACTGGGACAATGTAGATAAGTTAATAAAAAACAAGAAATGAATAACAATGATAATTCAAGAAATTAGTGTAAAATTTTATTTTAAAATATGGTAATAAACACTAGAAGAATCAGCTACAGGTTTTAAAAGTGGTTGCATATGAGAGAGAAATAGGGGTGTGGGGGAGTATAAGGGTAAAGAACAGATTATTTTTCCTTTGAAAAATATTCTAAATTAAAACACAAACAAGAGTTTCTAAGTTTTGAAAGTACATTGCATTCATTAAAAATTTAATTGGAATATTTGTTTTAACTTATCAGAACATATGCCATTTACATCCTTTAAATTTCCTTAATTTCTAATCAGAAAAAAAATCACCTCTATGCAGTTAGTCCACTTCTCATATACACTCATCAACTTCAGTTTCTTCCCCACTCCAAGCATGCTGACATTCACTACCCAGGAACACTTCTCAAGGGAAATAAGTTCCTGTTTATCCATTTATAACTTTCCCCTCAAAGTTCTTGTTCAAGGCCATTTTTTTTTAACATGAGTTTGAGTTTACTTAAAATACTGTAGAGTCTGAGAACTAATTAGTCCACACAGGGACTTTTTAAAAACAGTTTCCTAAGTAGTCTTGTAATCTTCTACAAACCAATTCATTCTGGACCTAGTTTACAAGGAAATCAATTTAAAATACTGTTTTCATCATCTCTCCTTTGCACAAGGACCTGATGATTCCCCTCTTCTAATGGGACTGCGTTCAAAGTCTTTTTGATATTTCTGAAGGCTACCAGTCTCATGAAAGCCTCTTATCTCATGTTCTTAGTCCTTAACTCCCTGAAGTGTACCTTCCACTTTTGTCAGGCAGATCTTTCTACCTCCTATTCACAACATGCTGTTGTTACTTTTACCTCTTACAAATGCTCTGTCCCCAAAGTTGAACGTCTTCATCTAACTTTTTACTTATACTAAGGTCAAGCTCAAGTTCCACGACTCTGGAAGCTGCCCCTTTGGCCTGCACTGACCCATCTCTTCTTGCTTGAATTCAGACTGTCACAAATGCTTGCTCCAAATGTAGTTTGTAGTTTCAAATGAATGTAGTTTCAAAACTGTGTTGGGTCACTATCATGGAGGTAGAGGTGTGGGAGTGGTCACTGTTTCATGCAATGCCAACCACAGAAAAGAAAAATAACTATTACTTGAACATTTAAAAGATTCAGATAACCAAACTTGAATTCTTTCCAAGTCAACCTTAAAAACTCACCATCTATCAGTCAATTAAACAAAAAAATTAGAACACTGACTTTTTCCCCACTGCAAAATAGGCCACTCTTCCACAAAACACAACACATGGCTAACACAATGAGACTACTGTGAGTAACTGCTCCCTCAAGATGAGGCACAGAACGAGACACATTCAAGAAGGGGTATGAGATTGCAAGGAAATAAAGGGTGTTTATATAGAAACAAACCTGGATCCACTTAAATTTCTTTCTTTAAAGTCATTTTTAAATTTTGGTATTTTCACTATTTTTCCAAAAAAATCACTTCCTACTCATATCTCACAACTAGTGGTTTTGCATCCCAACATTACAGGTAAGGCTGACTTTAAAGACAATCCAATCAGCTACGGCATATCCATTATTACATTAATGACTAACTTTTATCAAAATAATCATATTGTACTTACTTGAAAGATACCTTTACTTTAGGTTTAAAATAGGGTGCATTCTGGTCTGCCAAAAAGACGATTAAGTCATTTCCTAAAGGAAACAAATATATGATATTAGAAAAAAGTTTCTTGGTAAGATATCCCATCAGTGGTTACAAGAAGGTTTCTGGGCACTGTTTTCAACAAGAAAACTTTTATTCTACTCCAGTTCATCTGCCCTCTCAAGGATAGTTCCACTAGGCCAATGGAGAGGCCTAACATTATATCACAAGTTCAACGTTCAAAGTAGCAGAGGAATAGAAAGGATGAACATGGGAAAAAGCAGCTGATCAAGAGAAACTGAAGCCAGTGGATTCTGCAAGGAGTCAGATTGGTTGACTTAAAAGAACCATATAAAGAAGATGCCTTATAACTATACTACATGTCAAGACTTGTCTTCCCCGAATCTAGCAATGCTGCCTCTTGTAAGGCTGTTTGGTTCATTACACAGATGCATCACACCAAAGATGCAGGGACTCCCATTGTAGATATCTGACAAGGACATAATTAAGCATGTGAGCATAAAACGCTGAATCCTCCAAGACCCTCCTCCTATTGGGCCATCCTCTAGAGGCTGACACATTCTTGGAGCTCAATTAGCACTCATCGAGACAGACTTTTGGAATTGTTTAATCAAACACAGGCCATCTTTAAAGTCAAGGCTACTCTCTGTATCCAGTTTGGACAGAGTGGCAACAAGTTTTTGGCAGTACATTGCAAAATGAGGAGTCAAAAAGATTAGGAAAATATTCAGGGTCCGTAAGAGGCTCCTGCATCCTGGCAAGGGTCCCAAGAAGTCTGGTTCAGGATCCTATCAGACAAGCTCTGAGTAGCTCTTTCTTCCTTCCTTCCTTCGTGGCATTGATCTTTAAGCAGCACCTGCTTCTGTAGGTACTCAAGAACGCTAAGACCCCCTAATGCCCACCATCAGCATTAAGATTTATAAAAAAGTTAGTTTAATGATGGTCAAAGGAAATAATTTCCAAGAACAAGTTAGCAAAGAAAGTAGAGATTTGGAACACTAAAGTGATGACCAAGGTGAGGAAAGTGTACACGAAAGAACAGGCAGCTCAAGAGAGAAATTTCTGTAGTTTGAGACTGCTTTCCCAAGGAGGCATTGGTTTTATCAGTGGTCCCTGCAAAATGCTGTGTGAGCTGTTGAGTGTTTACGCCCTTGGAAGGGTACATTTGCTTCAAAGAAAGCTGTGGCCTTGACAAAGGGGGGGGGGGGGGGGGGGGGGGGGGGGCGAATTAGGTAGGTGGGGAGGCAAGAAGCCCCCTATGAGAAGAGATTGTCAAGCTGCACCTTTTCCTGTTCATCAACGGGGAAGGAAGACTGAAGCAAAATAGAATGGAATGAGAGGGCCTTAGGAGCGAACGTTGAGGCAAGCTACAAAGATTCCTAAGAATCAGGAAGCACTTTGGAAGGCAGGTGATTCCATGGGGAGGAGGGGGAAGGGTGACTGGGCGAAGGCTGCAGACTTCTTAGGAAAAAAACTGGGGTGCTGTCAGAGGGTAGGTCAAACTGTAGGGTGGCTGGGTCAGAACTTGGGGTTGGAAAGGGTAGTGCAAAAGGACAAACTGTCAATAATGCTAAAGGGAAGGCCACAGGGCTGGGAGAGAAAGGCCAGGAAATGCTAAAGGACCGGCCACTGGGCAATGGGTTTGGGGAACACCGGGAGGGGCACACGGACAGCGAACAGAGGGAGGGCCCGGCAAGCACTGACTTTCCCGCAGCACGAAGAGGTCCGTCTGCTTGTCGGAGTTGAGGTCCCCGAAAGCCGCAAGGGTGCCCCAGGCCTCGGCCCCAAAGAGCTCGGCCGTGACGTTGTGCAGCGCCCGCGCTGGGACCGGCCCGACTCCCAGTAGTGCAAGCCCCGTGAGGAGCGGCGACAGGAGCGCCCAGGAGCTCGGCAGCCGGCCCGCCGCCGCCATGGCAGCCCCTCGGCCCCCGCCCGCCGGCCCAGCGCCGCGCTTGACGGCAGCCGTAAAGCACCGCGTTACCGGCCGAGAGAGTGGCTAGCAACCCCGGGACGCGTAAGAGCCGCTGCCGGATCCTTTTTCTCTCTCCCACTAGGGCTGCCCTTCCGACGCTAAAAAGACAGTGGAGCTAGGGTGAAAGCCGCCCTCACGCTCACTTCCGGCAGGCGCGCCTCCCGACAGTGTCGTGCGGGGGGCGTGGCCGAGCGGGCATTGCTGACGGGCGGCCCCGGGGGCTGTGGCCAAGGCGGCTGCGGGAGCGCGATGGCGGGGGCGGCGGGGCTCGCGGCCGAAGTGAGCTGGAAGGTCTTGGAGCGAAGAGCTCGGACCAAGCGCTCAGGTTTGGCTGGCTGGGGCGCCGCCCCCCTACCCGAGTACCTGGGGTGGTGCTTCTCCTCAAGCACCTTGGTGGGAGGCAGGTGGGGGCCCTGGGAATGAACCTGTGCCCCGAGTTCTCCCTTAGAAACAGTTGGCGGCCCTGACCTTGCTTCTGATATCTTCATCCACCTCTAAAAATTAGGTGGCGGTGCCTACTCCATTGTGTGTGTGCCCCCGACTCTATTCAACTTATGATCCCCACTCGGAAAGTAGGCAGCGGTCCGGACTTCCCTTAGAGTCTTCTAACTTAAAAATCTGGCGGCGGCACATTCCTGGGAAGGGGAATGTGTCCTCCCTGTGAATGTTCTCCCCAAAAGTCAGATAGCTTAATCAGATCAAGTCAGATGTAACTACGATCTGGCTGCAGAAAGCCGGCGTCTGCTCCTTGCCTTATGTCTTATATCCCTTTTACATTCCCACAGGTTCTAAGCAGTAGACCTGTCATCTGTCTAGCAGAAATTGAAGGAGACTGGGCCTCAGGTCTTGAAGTGCATAGTTAGGGCTCAGAAGGAAAAGGGGCTCCTTAAGTGGTTCCAGGTTGTGTGGTTACCAAGCCAGAAAGCGTAGAGGTCAGAAGGTGCCTTGCAGGCAGTTTTAACAGTTTCAAGTGTCCCGAACTGACTTGTTCAAACTGCAAGTCATGACTTGTGGCATTATCAGCACTTATGGCTGATGACTCCTCTAAAAGCCGGGATTAAAACTTCCCGTATTCCTGGCTGGCTGGATATAATCTTGAGCAAAAAGCATGTACTTAAACAGGAAAGGTGGAAGGCAGAATACAGGTTTTCAACTAAGGAGCTTCCCTTTTAAAGAACTGTCATCATTGGGGGGGCGGTAGTGTGAAAGGCCTTAGCTAGGAAAATTAACTTTGCACTTGCATTGATATTAAGAAATTATTTTCGGCCGGGTGCGGTGGCTCATGCCTGTAGTCCCAGCACTTTGGGAGGCCGAGGTGGGCGGATCACCTCAGGTCAGGAGTTCAAGACCAGCCTGGCCAATCTGGTAAAACCCTATCTCTACTAAAAATACAAAGCTTAGCTGGGCGTGGTGGCGGGCACCTGTAACCCCAGCTACTCGGGAGTCTGAGGCAGGAGAATTGCTTGAACCTGGGAGGCAGAGGCTGCAGTGAGTGGAGGTCACACCACTGCACTCCAGCCTGGGTGACAGAGGGAGACTCCGTTTCAAAAAAAAAAAAGGGAAAAAAGAAATTATTTTCTCAGCTAATATGTCCCCCTTATGTTTTGGGCTTTTCCCATTTATGAAGTTCTTAGTTGTCTGTTGTGCACATTTTTTTTTTTTTAATTTGGAGAAAATAAATCTAATTTCTGAAAATCTAATTTCAGAAATCATACACCCAACATTCTGTTTTTTATACCTTACAAAAAGTTCAGCTTTATTTACTTAGGGTTATAGTAAAATTACCAACTGTGAAGTATGAGGTAATTTTTTCAAAAAGTAGTCCTTGGTACTATTAAAAATCAATAAAGTGACTTGGAATAGTCAGATGTATTTGTTTCACACTTTTTCTTAAATTGTTTTTGAGTCATATAGAAATACCGAGTTGGCTACTAACAATGTGGCTATCTGGATATAAAAGTGTTATTGGATTGGTTATGTCTAAACAGAGAGTAACCGGAGTTTTCTTACAGGGACCTGAGTACTGCCCCCAACATATATTTTTGCAAGATTTCTCTTTTCCTTTCATAAGCACGTAGAGTTTATTTTCTTCGTTAGTCTTTGTTTCCTCTGAAATGCATGTCATTAACAGTAAGCTTTGAAAACCTTACTTCTCTTTTCTTAGCTGAGAAAAAAAATTTTAGTGTTAACTGTTGTTGAATGCAGTTATGTAAATCCGCTTTTATATGCAAAGTGCATAGTATCAATGTTGAATGTTCCTGTATGTTTACATCCTAGTAGTAAAAAGAGATACCACTTGAATTCATTCCTCCAAATTAGTAGTTAAATTTGAGGTTTCAGATTCTTGTAAGTATATGAAGTACAGATGATAAAGTTAGTAACTCGAGTTAAAAACTTCCTGTGTCATTAAAAGCAATCAACTTGATTCTGTTTGTTACTTTTAGAAGAATATATAAATGGAGCTTTGTTAGAAACCGACTAACCTGCCTGGAGCATAGATTCCTCCCCACAGAGTTCTGAGCATTGTTACATAGTAGAATAATTACTTCACTGCACAATAGAGGATACTACTTTTATGTAATATTTAATAAGTGGATATTATATAGTTCCTGTCTCATTCATATGAGCAAGTGTAATTTATCAAAGCAAAGAAAATCACATATTCAAGTCATAAAAGAGAAAATAAAATTATAATGATCCTCAGTTACTGCCTTCGTTGCGCACTGCATCATGTTAATAACTGCTCACACTGCTTTCAATTAATTTAACACTGATTGCTTCTAACCTTTACTAAACAGTTTTAAAATTGCTGTAGCTTAGCCTGCGACGCTTATGATTAGAGCCAACAATTTGAAATGGCCTGCTCACCTGATGCAGTCGTCTCTTCGTCTTCTACTTTCTTAAGGTCTGGTAAGTGTTGTAGACCCCAAAAGGGTCACTTGGTAATTTTAAATACCTTTGTTTCTGACGGTTGATTTCACTATAAGATATCATTATGTCTTTATTTCTTGTTTGGTGGGCCCAGGCCTGAGTACCAGGCTGGTGTTAGGTTTAACTTTACATTGTGTTTTGAATGTGGCCTATTGTGTTCTTCTCATGTGGGGTTTGAAAAGGACAGAAAGTGGAGTGCCTGCCCTGATACTTGCAAGCTGTTTGAGCAGAGGCAGTTCCTCAGTGTCTGGGAGCTCCCATTGTCAAATGTGCACATAGTGTATTTCTTAAATGATTTTTGTCTTCTTGCCACAAAGGAAGTAACTTTTACAAATTAGGAATCTTTGGTCAACATCCCACTTATCTATTCTTCATCAGCTTACTGTGAAGCAGGTTATTAATATATACGTTTTCATAGACAGGAAGGGAATATTTCATAGACTTACCCCAGGGAATATTTTAAGGACACGTGCTTTGGCCTTTATCCTGTGCCATCCTGGTGTAAGGGCTGGAACAGATGTTGGCACAATGGCTCTTTGACCGTTGTGTTGATGCACCCCTTTGAGAGCTGGATGAAAGCTATGGAATTGCTCTCCAGATGTGTGCACAGGATTTTGAAAACAATCTGAGTGATTCATGGACCCAGACATGATTACCTATGCATTCCCATTAGGAACTAGGTCTTTGGATGTATTCAGTCTCACTTTAGGGAAGAAGACACACATTTCGTTCGGTGGCCACATAGCTGAAATGAAAATCGAAACATTTAGAGCACTTTTCTGTAGTTATGGCTTAACTTGGGCCATTTAAAACCTATTATGTGCTAGAAAACCCGGAGAAGGCTACTGGTAAGAGGCTACTTTTTCTATAATGCCTTTTAAGCAGAATATTTCAAGCCTCAGGACTCACGAACAGGCAAATGTGAGATGAGCACCCCCAAACACAGTGAAAACTCCTTGGCTTCACCATAGCCTTTCAGAAGTGTTTCTCCCTCTTCATTCATTTTCATTTATATTTCAAGTCCTGTTCTGGCAAGATAGAGGAGGAAAATCTTGAAGAAAATAAATAAGAAATAGCTTAAGGAAAAATCAAACAGGAGAAAACAAAAGCTCTTTAAGGAACTAAAATGATTTCTATCTCTGGGTGTCATCTGCTAAATGAGAAAATATTTTATGTAACAATGCCAATTGATTTCTGATTCTTTGAACTAAAAGAACAGGAGGACATATATCTCTAGACTCTGCTTTCTTTCATTATAAGCACTGAGCTCTGTTTTCCATCTTGGCTTTTCTACTAAGAATTAAAGTGGTTTTAAGCACTAGCAGAGTCATTCAGTAGTAATGGGGAAATAGAATGTTTAAAGACAGCTTTTATGCATCAACAGTCCTGAAAATTTCTAAACCCAAGAACTGTGCTTTAACATTACATAGAGTGTTTGAAGGCATATACAAGAAGCTTTTCCAGTACTGTATCATCAAATTGAAATAGAATGCACCAAGAAACAGACTAGAAAAATATCAAACTTTAGTGTTATAATCCATTTTAAAGAATGATTCTTTATAAATTACTTTCAGTGTTGACACTTTTTTGGGAGTTCATCTAACCAAAACTTACTAAAACTATAAAGACACACTTAAAATTTATATCTGTTAAAATAATAAGTACCATTCCTGCTGGTGTTTAGGCTTAACTTTGCATTGTGTTTTGAATGTGGTCTGTCGTGTTTGCATTTAAGTACTCTGAGTGGTTTGCATTTATAATTTCTTATTTAGAAATACTCCATTTATATTGGAAATGATTTGCTTTCCCCTATTGTAGTTCTTTAGACATTATCTTTTAGGCATATGTTTTATTGTGCGATTTCATTTGACAATTATTTTAAAGCATGTCCTTGCTTCACAGCTGAGCTTTTCATTGGTACTTTGGCCAGAAACTATCCAGTATTGCCAAACGTGAAAGCCAGTAGTATCTTGATTTTGAAAAATTCATTTTCAATGTACCTGTGTTGTTTTATGTATTTTAAACTCTTCATATTCCTTTTGGATATGTTTCTTCTTTTGTTTTTTTTCTTTGTTTCTCCTCTTTATGGAATTTAGCGTGAGTCCTATATTTCTGTGTGTGCATACTTGAGCTGTGCTCTGACTGCTAATGTACTAGTATTTGCTGCGGTTGAA